AAAGGAAAGGCCCCTATTTCCCCCAGAAGACATTAGTACCTAATCAAAGGAAAGGAGAAAATGCCTCTTGTGGTGTTCCCTGCATCTTCGGGTGGCTCGGCATGGGAGCCTGCAGCAGATCCTGGCACCCAGGTCACAGCAGCCTGATTTTTGTTCCACCTCAAAGGAAACCTCTTCACTTCCACATTGAAAAGCCCTTTCTTAAAGTCCTTCATTGCTGTTGGTCTGTGAATGAAAAGGTTGGTTACAAAGTCGAAAAACAAGAAATTTCCTTTGGCTGAAGAGGTCATCCTACAAAACGGACTAGAAACAGTAAAATCCAAAGCTGATGAGTCAAATTTTAATGCTGTTTCAGTTGAAGCTGACAAATAGGCCAAGTCCCTGCCCCAGCAGCTCTCTTTTCTTGTTGGTTTTCTTATGTGCCAAACCCAAAACTGAAGCATGCAGCTGGGATTGCAGAGGGCTTAACTGCTGTGTGTGGTGCAGGAGGAGCATCTATCGCCTGGTCCTCACCTCCAAGCATCCTTTGTGCCAGGAGGAGGATGGGAGGGTAAATTAACTCCCTGTGCCTCCCCTCCAAGGTGAGTTTTCAGCCCCTTTCACACTTCAGATGCTCGTCTCCAGGCTCCCAGCTGCTGGAGGCTTACAAATAATGCTAAATGTATTTGGTGGGCAGATGTTGGAGTGTGTAGTATGGAGCTGCCCCGGTTTTGCTGTGATTTGCTAACAGATGATGCAAGCTGTGGACTGCTGTTCAGGGAGGAATGTGAACTGGTGGCTGCAAATTACAGTGAGTTAATAGGAGCAACAAGCTCTTTGGACTACCCAGAAACTCCTCCTGGACAAGCCACAGGGAAGGTGAATAGTGGTGGAACTATGGCGGAGCATCAGCTTTGTGTGTCTATTGAGGGGGTTATAGCAGGGCCAAGAACACCTCAACTGATGATCTACAGAGTCTCCAGGTCTGCCTCATGCTCTGCAGCTCAATCCTGAGGTGGATGTGGGTCTCCTTGCTGAGGGTGGGCCAAAGTGGGTGACCTAGCTGCCTGCAGGTACCTTTGGGTCCCCTTTGGCTCCTCTCATGCTCTGTGGGAAGATAACCTTGCAGGGAATGTGGTTGCTCACGATTAACAACTGATTTTAAGACATGCAAATGATGGAGTCAAGTTTTGACCAGAATGCTTTTGCTGCTGCTCTCTGATTTCTTGCCTAAAAGGACTTTGTAAAATAAGTTAGGGGTTACTTTTAATGGTGTTAGTTTAGGGGGGGAAAAAGGAATGCTGGTTTAGAGTTTGTGTTACAGCTCTTTACTGACCACCACCAGCTCGCAGCTTAAACAGAAACAGGACCACAAATCACATTAGTTGAAGCTAATGACAGGGGGGCTCTTAAATGGATTTGAAATCTGGCTTATATGTTACACTGAAGGAGGTTTTACCCTCGTGTAATTGAATCCACTGTTTCTGATCTATCTGGGAAGACTAATTTGATCCAGGGCGCTGGGTGATGTGTGGTGAGGTGGGGGCCAGCCTGGGTGAGGTGCCTGCTTTTAGTACCGACTGTCATTAACCCCTTGGAGTCCCTCTCCCTGACAGTGGTAGTGCTGTGTAGCAAAGGAAAAGAAACGAAATGGTTATGCTGCTGTGCTAAGGGGCTACAAGAGGGAGAAAGCCTGTTGTAGCAAGGGCAGGTTTCTGCCTTTCCTCAACTCAGGTTTCACAGCCTTGCTTTGCCTTGGACCCAAGTGCAAAGAGAGGGAAGGCATATACCTGACTATGTGTGTGATGGGAAAGCACTGAAGGATCCTGTCTTGTCCTCCTGAGAGCCTGAGCTGCTCCAGGGGACTGCAAATGTGACCTTGCAGTGGGTGAAGCTGATGCCTGGCAGCTCTGTCCTCGCCTTCCTCACATGCTACATGGCTCCAGGCCCTACTCCTGCAACTTTGGGGTTGAAAAAGCCATGCCTGAGGGATTGGTGAGCTGATGTCTGTGGTTTCCTTGTGATTTGGATATTACATCCAGGAGAAAGGCTGTAGGGTTAGAGGAGAACATGGCTCCAGGGCTGTGTGGATGCTCGTTCCTTGGTTGTTTTCTAACATCTGTGAATGGCTTAAACTAAACCACAGGATGTTCTGCTGGGAAGATGTGATGTTCCAGAAGGAGTTGGTGATTGTCATAGAATCCCAGCCTGGTTTGTGCTGGAAGGGACCTTAAAACTCCTCCAGCTCCAACCCCCTGCCA